TGAATCGCTACCGGTGCGTCGTCTTTATACTGAGCGGCCCAAATAATATTAGCAGCCTCGTAAATGAAGAGTTTGCCACTTTCGGAGGCAATGGCGGTGATTAAGCGTGCGCCCGGTTCTGAATGGAGAGAAAATGCGGGGGAGTTATAAGAGGTTTGGACAAGCGTTTCTTATTTTTTTTAAATGATTCCAATAATAAAAGAAGCTTTCCCAATCGAGTTTAGCCACGGCAGATTCTTTTAATTAGACTTTCGATTCATTAAAACATATAACTAGTAGGACCCGAAGTGGAAATAATGGATAGCTAATGAGAGAACAACAGGAAATCTCAGGTCTTTAGTTTAACATCAACGTTTTGACTCTCAACTCAAACAGGAATTCCAAAGTTCGTGTTATTGGTTTATCAGCGTAAATAATTGCAATCGTTTGAGCTTGAGAAGATGTACAAGACCCCGGCCTATGACCTATAACTGGCTCACTGATTTGTATGCGAGACTGAATTTCCTTCCGAATCTTCGATGATAACACATGCATGAATCCCAGATCATTAATTAAACAGGTGTAAGTGTACATCCCAGTCATATCTAGATCTCTTTTTTTCTTGCTCTTATCCGACATTTTTGGGCCTACTTCTGGTTTTTCGAGATCCCCGAGACTACAATGGAGGTTTTTTGGAACTATTTCGGGATTTCCGAGACTTCTTCGAGATTTTCGGCATGCGCGTTACTATATCGGGATCTTTGGTACAACCACGGTATATTTGGACCATTTTAAAATTTTTGGGACTAATTTGGAAAATTTTGGAATATTTCAGGTTTTTCGAGAATACTTCGAGATTTTAGGATTGTGGGGCTTGGATACCTACAATTTTAAAGTAGTTTCGAAAATCTTGAAATGGTCCCGGAGATCCCGATAGTGCCCCCAGAACCCTGCAAATCTCGAAGTAGTCTCGAAAAACCCCAAGTAGTCCCGAGACCTCTAAAAATCCCGATGTCTCAAAAATCCCAAGTGCTCTTAAAATTACCGAAATAGTCCCAAAAACTTCGAAGTAGTCCCGAAGATCCCAAAATCCCGAAGTAGTCCAAAAAATTCCGATAGTTTCGAAAAACCTGAACTATTCCCAAATGCTCCGAATTAGTCCCTAAAATCTCGAAATAGTCCAAATATTCCGAAGATCCCGATATAGTCCTGGGAATTCCGAAAATCTCCAAATAGTCCCAAAGATCCCGAAATAGCCACGAAAATCCCAAAATAGTCTAATAATTCCGAAGTAGTCCCGAAGATCCCTATAAAGTGCCGGTTTCTTAAACCCCAAAATAGTCCCAAAAATTTCGATATTATAGCCCCCAGAATATTTGTTCGGTATATTATATTACTACATACTTAACTCGCAAACATGACCGCGTGAGAGCTCCTCGTGTAAACTGACATGAGAACGAATGAGAATTTTCTTATAATCAATGCGCGTGTAAACACTCATGAAAAATCTCACACCAACATGGCGGCACATTCATGAGAGTTGCTCCCATCGTTTACGTGCACCTTTACACACTCGCAAAGCAGACATTACCTTACTCACCACTATTCTAATCAGCCGTTATTGTCTGAGTTCTCATATGAAGCGGTTTGGAGTTAAACGGCCGTTTTCTCAAGTAGCTTTCAAAATTTAGATGCCATTAAATGTAAATATTGTTCTCAGAAAATGAGTTTGCAGAGCATACGTGTAAATTTTAAAAGCTATTTTAGTTTGGAGCTGAAAAGTTATTTCCTTCTTCCCAACCGAATTTACTTTTGACTGACAAGTTTCCATTCTCAAGTAGTGCAAGAGGTCTCATGCTTGTACACTCAAGAACACTTTTTCAGCTTTCTTAACTGACGCCGATTTATTGAATAATGGGTCCAATTTCAGTTTAGAACTATTAAAACAAATCGATTTAAGTAATTACCCCAATAGTAGCCGATAACGAAGGAATGAAAGCATCTTGGCGTATAATCCAATTTCAGAATGAAATCAACCAATCCATCATCGGTTAGCCTAATAAAGTTGCGCTCGCCCAGTATCATAATTGAGGCTGAATTTCTTTTAATTAGAAAGTATTTAGAGATCATGCAGTTTTTTACCTTCTTCTGTAAGATGAACTTTTAGTAAGTATTACTTACGACTTCGTCTGCACCACACATATGTCGACAATACCTTCACCGATGCAAATCGACCAAGAGGGCTGGAATTCCGAACGATTTAAGGAAGAGTGCGAAAGGTCCTGATAGCTGTTTAAAATAATTCCGAAAATAAATTATTTACGCCTCACCGCACCAACTACTAAAGTTCAAAATACATACGTAAAACACTCCAAATTCCAACCGGCTGTAAAGCGAAAAAAGCTATCCGTCCGTTCACAATAGACAACTGGCACAGGTAATGCACGATTACCCGGCAATTGACATTCGTACAAAATACCATCCTGCTCATGGAACGTCAGCGTGCCATCCAAATGCGTAATACAGAAGAACTCACGTCCCTTGACACGCCCAAAAGCACCCTTCGTCAACGCCAACGCACCACGTTTCAGCTTATAATCGGCCAAACAAACCAGACGTAGCTGGGCGCCATGCTCAGCGACGCCACCAATGGTCTGGAGCTTATAAATGGACACCGAACGCGGATGTAAAACGGCAAGTTGATTGTGCTTTTCATCAGCCAATTGTCCACTGAATTAAAGTAGCAAATTTAAAAGGGGTTTATGGTAAGAAAAATGTCACAGTGGGTTCCAACTCACCCACTAAACCGCCCCGCATATATGCCCAGTATCGGCGCTTTAAGATTCACCTCCAACAGCAAGTCGGTCGGTCTAAAAGCCTCACCATCTTCATGGCGTCGATTTTGATCCAAGCGTGGATAGAAAATGCTCAAGTTACCGCTATGCGAACCCACAACCACATAGTCCTTTTCATTATCGTCAAGTCCGAAGCGAGCGCACAGTAAACTGGCTACATCATAGTTCTCCTCCAGATCGGAGCACTGTGTGTGCCACCAGTTGCAAACGTTGAAGAGCGACATGACGCGCGAACGCTTAATGCATAATGCACTAACTCTGTGAACTGACACAGCCGCTCGAACGAGGAAGTA